TACTTGAACCCAGTAAACAGGAGTACATTACCTGGCTCTGCGAACTCAGCTAAACAGAAGAACATACCTGGCTCTGTGTACCCAGTTAAACAGGAGTACATACCTGGGTCCTGAACCCAGCTAAACAGGAATAAATATCCTGGCTCCTTGAACCCAGCTATACAGGAGTACATAGCTGGCTACTTGAACCCAGCTAAACAGGAGTACATACTTGGCTCTTTGAACCCAGCTAAACAAAAGTACATAACTGGCTCCTTGAACCCAGCTAAACAGGAGTACATACCTGGCTCTGTGAACCCAGCTAAACAGAAGTACATAACTAGCTCCATGAACCCAGCTAAACAGAAGTACATACCTGGCTCCATGAACCCAGCTAAACAGAAGTTCATCAATGGCTCAATGAACACAGCTAAACAACAGTACATACCTGGCTCAATGAACACAGCTAAACAACAGTACATATTTGGCTCCATGAACCCAGCTAAACAGGAGTACATACCTGGCTCCATGACCCCAGGTAAACACAAGTACATACCTGACTATGAACTCAGCTAAACACAAGTACATAACTGACTCCTTGAACCTGGCTATACAGAATTACATACCTGCCTCCATGAACCCTGCTAAACAGAAGTACATATATGGATCCATGAGCCCAGCTAAACACATGTACATAACTGGCTCCTGAACCCAGCTAAACTGAAGTACATAGCTGGCTCCTTGAACCCAGCTAAACAGAAGTACATAACTGGCTCCTAGAACCCAGCTAAACAGGAGTACATACCTGACTATGAACTCAGCTAAACACAAGTACATACCTGGCTCCTTGAACCCAGCTATACAGTAGTACATACCTGGCTCAATGAACCCAGCTAAACAATAGTACATATTTGGCTCCATGTACCCAGCTAAACACATGTACATACCTGGCTCCTTCAACCCAGATAAACAGTAGTACGTAACTGGCTCCTTCAACCCAGCTAAACAGGAGTACATACCTGGCTCCTTGAACCCAGCTATACAGTAGTACATACCTGGCTCAATGAACCCAGCTAAACAATAGTACATATTTGGCTCCTTGAACCCAGCTAAACAGGAGTACATACCTGGCTCTGTGAACCCAGCTAAACAGGAGTACATATCTGGCTCTGTGAACCCAGCTAAACAGACGAACATACCTGGCTCCGTGTACCCAGCTAAACAGGAGTACATACCTGGCTCCTTGAACCCAGCTAAACAGGAGTACATACCTGGCTCTGTGAACCCAGCTAAACAGGAGTACATACCTGGCTCTGTGAACCCAGCTAAACAGAAGTACATACCTGGCTCTGTGAACCCAGCTAAACAGAAGTACATAACTAGCTCCAGAAACCCAGCTAAACAGGAATAAATACCTGGCTCCTTGAACCCAGCAATACAGGAGTACATAAGCTGGCTACTTGAACCCAGCTAAACAGGAGTACATACTTGGCTCTTTGAACCCAGCTAAACAAAAGTACATAACTGGCTCCTTGAACCCAGCTAAACAGGAGTACATACCTGGCTCCTTGAACCCAGCTAAACAGGAGTACATACCTGGCTCTGTGAACCCAGCTAAACAGAAGTACATAACTAGCTCCATGAACCCAGCTAAACAGAAGTACATACCTGGCTCCATGAACCCAGCTAAACAGAAGTTCACCAATGGCTCAATGAACACAGCTAAACAACAGTACATACCTGGCTCAATGCACACAGCTAAACAACAGTACATATTTGGCTCCATGAACCCAGCTAAACAGGAGTACATACGTGGCTCCATGACCCCAGGTAAACACAAGTACATAACTGACTCCTTGAACCTGGCTATACAGAATTACATACCTGCCTCCATGAACCCTGCTAAACAGAAGTACATATATGGATCCATGAGCCCAGCTAAACACATGTACATAGCTGGCTCCTTGAACCCAGCTAAACAGAAGTACATAACTGGCTCCTAGAACCCAGCTAAACAGGAGTACATACCTGACTATGAACTCAGCTAAACACAAGTACATACCAGGCTCCTTGAACCCAGCTATACAGTAGTACATACCTGGCTCAATGAACCCAGCTAAACAATAGTACATATTTGGCTCCATGTACCCAGCTAAACACATGTACATACCTGGCTCCTTCAACCCAGCTAAACAGTAGTACATACCTGGCTCAATGAACCCAGCTAAACAATAGTACATATTTGGCTCCATGTACCCAGCTAAACACATGTACATACCTGGCTCCTAGAACCCAGCTATACAGTAGTACATACCTGGCTCAATGAACCCAGCTAAACAATAGTACATATTTGGCTCCTTGAACCCAGCTAAACTGGAGTACATACCTGGCTCTGTGAACCCAGCTAAACAGGAGTACATACCTGGCTCTGTGAACCCAGCTAAACAGAAGAACATACCTGGCTCCGTGTACCCAGCTAAACAGGAGTACATACCTGGCTCCTTGAACCCAGCAAAACAGGAATAAATACCTGGCTCCTTGAACCCAGCTAAACAGAAGCACATACCTGGCTCCATGTACGCAGCTAAACAGGAATACATATCTGGCTCCATGTACCCAGCTAAACAGGAGTACATACCTGGCTCCTTGAACCCAACTAAACAGAAGTAATACCTGGCTCCTTGAACCCAGCTATACAGGAGTACATAGCTGGCTCCTTGAACCCAGCTAAACATAAATACATGGCTGGCTCCATGAACCCAGCTAAACAGGTGTTCATGGCTGGCTCCATGAACCCAGCTAAACAGGTGTTCATACCTGGCTCTTTGAACCCGGCTAAACAAAAGTACATGCATGGCTCGATAAACCCAGCTAAACAGAAGTACATACCTGGCTCAATGAACCCAGCTAAACAATAGTAC